AACATTTAAAAAATTTAAAAAAGAAAAAAAAAAAAGAATCATTTCATTAAATCCTCAAACCAAACTTCTGATGTAGGGGTCCATGTTACCATTTACAGACAGGAAACCGGGGCTTAAGTAAGGTAACCTACTTCGTACCTAGAGCCAGTCAATGACATGCAAATCCAGTTCCGCCTGCCTCCAGAGCCCACTCACTACACTACACCAATTCTATAAGTTGGCTTTACTAATTGTGATACAACCATTTTCTTTGTTTTGTTACATTTCATGAGATGCTCTAGGACTGTGTATGATCTCTGCATAAGTAAATATGTTAAGACATCCCACCAAACAATATTTAATGAATAATCATATGCACAAGTCAGCTCCATTTTCTAAAAGGGTAAAAGCTGAAATATTTGACCTTTATTTAAAAAGAGTGGAAAGACTGGAAATGTTCTGAACTTATTTGTAAAATTTGGTAAAATAGTTGATGTGGATAAATTCTTTCTCATAAAAGAACCATAGCTAATAAAAGTATAAAGAATGAGAAAATTAGAAAAGTCACTATTCTGCAACCCCTAAAGAAATAATGGATCTAGACAGTGTCATGAAATACTGCTAAATTATTAGGTGGAAAGTAGAGCCATCACCTAAACTCAGTGATCTCAAGTGGTACAAAACAGAGTAGCCAGCACATCTGAAACCTTTTGATCAGAAAAAATGAACCCAAATCTAATCAATCCTCTGGCTCTATCAGTCTACAGGAAATTCAAGGGACATACCTACATGTTAAAGGACCCCAGGATACAGTCATCTTAATCCAGAATGTTGGGACAACCTACAAGACATCACCCAGGTCCTTCAACAAATAAATAAAACAGAACCAAAAAACAGGGGAACTGTTACTGATTGTTAAAGATTATGAGACACAGCAATCAAATAAAATGTACAGATCTTATTTGGATCCTGATTGGAACAAGTCAACTGTAAAAAAGACATTTCAAAGACAATCAGAAAGTATCAGGGGCGCCTGGGTGGCTCAGTCGGTTAAGTGTCCAACTTCTGCTCAGGTCATGATCTCAGTTTGTGGGTTCGAGCCCCGTGTCAGGCTCTGTGCTGACAGCTCAGAGCC